TGTGCCTGCAAAGTATAGTTTTTATTTAGTATTCGTTTCTCACAGAACCAGGAACAAAACAGGATGTGTCTCTTGTGTACTTATTTGGAAGAATTGCCTTGATGCAGTTAAAAATTGAACCTGAAATAGTTTTAAGAGACCCTAAATAAAATAAAACCTATTAAGCCAATAAAATGCCCCTTATTAATGATTATAAAGAATTTTTAATAAAATAAATTTTGGAACTGAAGGCCTCAAAAATCACATGTATCTTGAAAGTTTATTCTTTGTTATTTTTGGTGAAACTTGCTTGGAAGGAGGAAGTCAGCTGCTTCCTGAAACTGAATGAGCTCTTAGAATTGATGCAGGCCACTAGAGACTAAAACGGCAACACGTGATTTATTATTTAGTATAATTGAATAGTGGAGAATGGTAATGTTTGTCTCTCCTTGGCCCCATATAATGAATCAAAAGGCCCTTAAGTTATTTGGTTATGGTAAGTATATGATTGTGTTGAAAGTCAGCAGGAAACGAATCTAGATTAGTTGTCTGGCACAGACACTGGGAATGCTGAGCATATCGAAGCTGGGTGCTAATGACAGTTTCATAAAGCTTGGGAGGGCACCTTCAGAAAGGTTCAGGATGAACCTGGCAAGCTACTTCTAGAGCTGAGTTTGCTGCTAATAGGTGCTTTCTGAATTACAAACATAAAAAGTCATCTGATTTTGAAGAGGAAACTGAAGCTTGGAGTGTGAATGGCTTGGGTTCGGTAAGAGGTAGGTGAGGAAGAGCTAAGACTGATTCTTGACTTCTGCCAGGACATGGTCAGTCGGCTCCACCATCTTGTCTCACCCACGTGTAGTCATCCTGCACACACATGTGGCTATACACATGTGCTTCCTTTGCCTTGCTACTGAAACTTCGACTTGTGCCTGTACTCCTTTTACCCTAAGTTGTAATCTGCCAGCCTGGGCCCTTCTTTTTGCTGCCTTAGGGAGATTGAATTTCTGTACCTGTTAATGCTACTGATTATTTTACCTTGAGCAATTGTTTACCTTAATGTCCTTTTTGACTCTCTTTTTCTTGCTTTTATCTCTTCAATCTCTTCTTATTTATTTATTTATTTTTAAAAGATGAAGTCTAGCTCTGTCTCCCAGGCTGGAGTGCAGTGGCACGATCTTGGCTCACTGCAATCTGTGCCTCCCGAGTTCAAGCGGTTCTCCTACCTCAGCCTCCCGAGGAGCTGGGATTACAGGTGTGTGCCACCACACCCAGCTAATTTTTGTATTTTTAGTAGAGATGGGGTTTTGCCATGTTGGCCAGGCTGGTCTGGAACTCCTGGCCTCAGGTGATCTGCCCACCTCAGCCTCCCAAAGTGCTGGGATGACAGGCATGAACCACCACGCCTGGCCTTCAATCTCTTAATCTTTTTATACCTTTCTCTTTTCTGTCCCCTTTTCTCCTTTCCTCTTCCCTTTTCCCTCTTTTTCTGAACATTTTCTTTTTTTCTCTTCCTCTGCCTATCCCTGTTACTTCTCTTTAAAGAGCCAAGGAAAACCTGATAATATCTGATAAGTTTAAAAGTAGATGACATATCTCCAACAAGAGAAAGGAAAGATCTAATTGTGTTTTTCTCCAACAAGTAAATTTTGGTGAACACTTACCATGTGCTGTTTTTAGGGTGTAAGATAAATCTTTGTCCTAAAAGAGCTTGCAACATCTCACCAAATTAAATCAGTAGACATATATATATATATATAGGTATGTATGTATGTACTTTTTTAATGAGATAGGGCCTTGCCCTGTTGCCCAAGCTCAAGTGCAGTGTTGTGATCATAGCTCACTGTAACCTCAAATTCCTTGGCTCAAGCAATCTTCCCTTTTTAGCCTCCTGAGTAGCTGAGACTACAGGCGTGTACCACCACACCTGGCTAACTTTTTAATTTTTCTCTAGAGATGAGATCTTGCCATATTGCCTAGGCTGATCTTGAATTCCTGGCCTCAAGTGATCCTCCTGTCTCCGCTTCCCAAAGAGATTACAGGCGTGAGCCACCACACCTGGCTTCTCTTGATATTTTTTGAACTTGGGATATTTTGTGAATGTATATGCCCTTGCAAACATGCATGTCTATTTTTCTGTTAAAATATGTTATTTTACAAAAAACATTATAACTAAATTATTGGAAATGCAAAGAAGAAAAAAAAAATAACTCATGATCCTATAGTAACAAATTAAACCTACTATTTCTGGTTTATTATTATATTTTATTATATTATAATATTTTTAATATATTAATATATTATTATATATTAAAATATTTTGACAAATATTTGTCAAAATAATTACATAGTCTTTGTGCAGTAGAAATCATAGGTAAATTTAGTTTTGCATTCTTCACTTTCTTTTGTTTCATAAATGCTTTCTTTAAATGTAATTTTGAACGGTTGGATAGTATTTCACTCAGTGTAGAAGGGAAGCAACATTAGTGGAGTACCTGCTATGTGATGGGCATTGTGCAAATTGCTCCATATTTGCCTCATTTCACCCCACAGCATTTCTGTAAGTATTATTATGCCCATTTCATAGAAGAGAAAATTGAGGCTTAGCTTAGCTAATTTCAGATTAGCAAACACTAGTTGAACTCTGAGGTACCACGCTGAGTTTTGGGGATTAAAGATGAGTGGGACGTGGTTCCTCCTACAAGGAATACAGAAAATCATAGAAAAACAAATGAGTGTAAATACGCTAAGTGCAGTGACCTAGAAAAGGAACATGTGACCTGGGTTAGGGTTGGTCAGAGCAGGTTTGCTAAAGCAGCAGTGCTTCTCAAAACTTCAGTGTGCATATGGAAGTACTAGGGGTGTTTGTTAAAATATGGATTCTCATTTTTGGTCCTTTGGTTGGTCTGACAGTCTTCATTTCTAACAAGCTTCCAGGTGGTGCTGATGTCGCTGGCCCGCATACTTCATTTTGAGTAGGAATATTCTAGAGGATGTAGGACTTGAATAAATACCAATTAGCTGGGTCGAGAGGTGGGAAAAGGTATTCTAGACAGAGAAGACAGAGTGGGGAATGACATAAAGCATAAGGAAAGTATGGTAAGAGGGTAAACTACTTATAATCTATGGCAAGTGGTGGCAAACTATAGCTTGCTGGCTAAATCCAGCCCACAGCCTGTATTTGCATGGCACGTGTGCTAAGAATAGTTTTTATATTTCTAAAGGGTTGTAAAAAAACAAAATCAAGGAAAAACACGTGATAGGGAGGCACAAAGCTTAAATATTTACTGGTCAACCCTTTACAGTAAAAGTTTGTGCCCCCTGATCTGTGGTATTGGCGGTATTGGTGGAGTGTAAAGTCTGAGGTGGGACATGTTTGAGAAAGCAGGCTGGGGGATGATCACCAAGGGATGCAGAGGAGCTTGACCTCTGTCTTTGAGGTGATCAGGAGCCAGGGCAGGGCTTAAAGAGGGGAGTGTCAGGCTCTGGCTTGTGTTTTAGAAAAATCCCTCTGGCAGAATATATATAAAAGGGGGCGACCTGGAGGTAAGGATACCAACCAGGAGGCCTGACCAAAAGCAGATTGTGTAGGAGTGACAGAGTTCAGAGCTGCCTGGGACAAAGTTTTAAATTTTATTATCACTGCAACCCCTAGGAAGATAAACATTTTATATCATGACCCAGCATGCATACACACTCAAAGCAAAACTTATCACAAAACACTGTTTCTTTATTGTGGATGAACTCACATGTTTTTCATTCCATTTAAAAAAAAAAAAATGCTGTTGCTACCCACTAAGTTGACTTCATAGTGGGCCGTAACCCACAGTTTTCAAACTTATTAGGGAGCTCATTTGGGGAAATAAAACAGCAGGATTTTGTCATTGGTTTGATGTGGAGGGTGGGGAGCAAGAATCCCGACATGGATGTGTGAATGGTGTTATTTCCTAATGGAAATCAATAATAGAAGGGGGAAGCCATTTGGAAGGTAGAGAAGATTCATTTATTTTTGTACGTATGTTGAGTTTGAGAGCACTATAGGATATTTGGGCTTTCCAGAAGATAAGAGGTATCAATTCTCATTCAGTTTTACTGCCTTATTGTTTTGTTTAACTGCTGTTATTTCTTTCTTTACTATTTTTTTTTTTTTTAAACAAGAGTCTTGCTCAGTTGCCCAGGCTGGAGGGCAGTGGCACGATCTCCGCTCACTGCAACCTCTGCCTTAGGTTCAAGCGTTTCTCATGCGTCAGCCACCTGAGTAGCTGGGATTACAGGTGTGTGCCACATGCCTGGCTAACTTTTTTGTATTTTTAGTAGAGATGGGGTTTCACCATGTTGACCAGGCTGGTCTTGAACTCCATGCTTCAAGCGATCCTCCTGCTTTGGCCTCCCAAAGAGTTGGGATTATAGGCGTGAGCCACCACTCCTGGCCTAACTGCTGTTATTTCAATAGCAGTATTTTCTACAAAAAGTATGATGTTTTAGGATTTAGTAAGCTTTTCCTGCTCAGGCTAGGTATTCCACCATTATTTACAACATTGTAGTGTTCCAGTGGGAGGAAGCAGCATGAATTTTGAATAATTGGCTTATGTGGAAAGTTTGTAAATTGATCGATAACTTGTACGTATTACTTTGATATGTTTAATTTAGCACTTATATGTTCAGTAAGACTAATGTTCTGATATATTGAAATATTTAACAGAGTAATTGGATCACATTAATTCGTTTGTATATTCTCATATATGTTCAGTTTGTTTTAGCTCTGCATACAAATATACTGCACTATTAGAGGGTTATCAGTTTTTGATTACTTTACTTATTCTGCACTAATACAGAACAGTGGCATTTATTTATACTCTTCTCCCTGTATTTTAGGAGACTCTTTAAAGATAGGCATTTCTGGAATGGTAAAGAGTATTTCCTAAGTTGAACATATCAGTGTTTATAACATAAATACATAACTATGTTAAAAAGTTTTTTTTAACTAGGAAATAATTGTTCCTTTCACATTCTTTATATAGATTGAATACCTGCTTAAGAAGCTTACAGAAGCTATGGGAGGAGGCTGGCAGCAAGAACAATTTGAACATTATAAAATCAACTTTGATGACAGTAAAAATGGCCTTTCTGCGTGGGAACTTATTGAGCTTATTGGAAATGGACAGTTTAGCAAAGGCATGGATCGGCAGACTGTGTCTATGGCAATTAATGAAGTCTTTAATGAACTTATATTAGATGTGTTAAAACAGGTAAGAATTCTGTTACTGTATTTTTTTCTCATCTTTAGAATTTGACATTTTAAAATTAATATTTTTATCACAAAGATGAGTATAAGTCACTTATTTTCTTACACTGATTGCGGTTTTTTTTGTTTTTTGTTTTTTGTTTTTTTGTTTTTTTGTTTTTTTTTGAGGCAGTCTTGCTCTGTCGCCCAGTCTGGAGTGCAGTGACATGATCTTGGCTCACTGCAACTTCCATCTCCTGGGTTCAAGGGATTCTCGTTCCTTGAAGGCATGCACTCCCATGCCCAGCTAATTTTTGTATATTTAGTAGAGCTGGGGTTTTACCGTGTTGGCCAGGCTGGTCTTGAATGCCTGACCTCAAGTAATCCACCCACCTCGGCCTCCCAAAGTGCTGGGATTACAGGTGTGAGCCACTGGGCCTGGCCTGATTTTGAATAGGAATAAAATTTCTTATTTTTCCAGTCTTGTATTAGGCTTTTCATTTAAAAAAATTATTGGTGCAATTTTAAAGTACAGTTAAGAATTTTAAGTACAGTTAAGAATACATATATTATTATATATTAACTTTTTTTTTTTGAGACAGAATTTCACTCTGTCACCAGGCTGGAGTGCAGTGGCATGATCTTGGCTCACTGCAACCTCCGCCTCCTAAGTTCAAACAATTCTCCTGCCTCAGCCTCTGAGTAGCTGGGACTATAGGTGTGTGCCACCATGCCCAACTAATTTTTGTATTTTTGGTAGAGATGGGATTTCACCATGTTGGCCAGGATGGTGTCGATCTTTTGACCTTGTGATCCACTAGCCTTGGCCTCCCAAAGTGCTGGCATTACAGGTGTGAGCCACCGCACCCAGCCCATTTCCAAAGTATTTTTAAAGTATCTTTCTGTCATGTGTGCATTCATAACCATTTATCCAGAAAGATCTCCATGGCATAATGCTGAGTGGAAAAAAAACCACATTGCTGAACAGGAGATACCTTTTAATCCCCTTCAGATAATGTTAATGTGTGTGTGTAGAGCTGTCAGGAAGATGCTTGCCAAAATGTTTACAGTGATCACCTCTAGATGGTGGGATTTTGGTGAATTTTTTTCTTCTTTATTCCTTTCTGTATTATTGGACTTTCTATATGATTTTATATTATTTTTATAAAATCAGAAAAATGCCTCTGTTTGTAGAGAAAAAAATACCTTTATGTAACAAAGTTGCTTTTGTCTTACTTAGACTGTCATCTTTTTCTTAGCACCCAGCATAGCAGATGAAGCTTGATGCTTGTTAAATACAATTTATATTTTTTTGGTGACTCTTTGAAACTTCTTACATTATTATATTGAATAATAACTGATTTGGGATTCCCTTACTTTGATCCTTTCTTTCTTCCATAGGTAATAGTGTTGTCTTTGTTCTTTTTTTTTTCCTAATGGAGCACATCATAAACGTTGAGGCTGAATTTGTATAGGTTTTTGGTGCTACAAAGAGGTATGAGACGTGGTCTCCATCTGAAGTGGAATTCTCAGCCTCTTAGGATGGCAGGATGTGACTGTAGTAGAATTGCAGTATGAGATAGCTTTTGCTTAAATGTCCAAAGATTAGGAAACTGAATATGTAATATGATTAGAACTTAGTATAATAACCAACTGAAACTTCAATCGATATCATATATATTTAATGATACGTATATTCTGTCATGCGCTATCACACCTATAGATTTAATACTAAAAGTAGCAACTATTCTTAAACAAGCCTGAAGGGCTTTGGCCTATAATAATGTATAATTTTGCTTAAGTAAACATTTGAGTCACACACCTTTGAGGCCAATCTGTGGGAAGGAAATACAGAGCTAGTGAGTGTTAGCTTAGAAGCCACATTTAGAAGCCAGTATTCGAACTCCTGGTGCAGTATTTTCCTGCTGGTCTGGGGCACAGTTCCTCCTTCAGAATACTGAGAGGTCAGGCAGAAAGGTAGGTTGGTACCAGAGGTGGAAGTCCTTGAGTATTTGTTGAGAAGATATATGTGGCCAAGCTTTAGCATTTTCATTGATTGAGGTTTTGCTTATTTTATTTAAAAATTTTGGCTGGGCGCAGTGGCTCACGTGTGTAATCCCAGCACTTTGGGAGGCTGAGATGGGCAGAACACGAGGTCAGGAGCTAGAGACCATCCTGGCCAACATGTTGAAACCCCGTCTTTATTAAAAATACAAACATTAGCCAGGCATCGTGGCTTGCCAGCTACTCAGGAGGCTGAGGCAGGAGAATCACTTGAACCTGGGAGGCAGAGAGATTGCAGTGAGCCGAGATCGCACCCACTGCATTCCAGCCTGGGCGACAGAGTGTTACTCCTTCTAAAAAAATTTTTTTTTGTAGAGATGAGGTCTTACTATGTTGCCCACGGTGATCTTGAACTCTTGGCCTCAAGCGATCCTCCTGCCTTGGCCACCCAAAGTGCTGGGATTACAGGCATGAGCCACTGCATCAGGCCTAATTGAGGATTTAATTTACAGAGAATCATTGTTAGGGGTTCATTCTTTCTTTTTAAGTGGAATAGACCAGTATAATGAACTCCCACATACCCATCAGCCAACTCCAGTAACCACCAACATATGGCTAATCCTACCCCACCTACTTTAACCTCTCCTGTATTATTTTGAAGCAAATCTCAGGTATTTTATTTTGTTTATAAACATTTCAATAGGTATCTCTAAAAGATAATGATTTTTTAAAAAATGTCAAATGCTACTTAATATCAAGGGGGTTCTGTTATCTGCATATCATTTTTGGGAGGGGTTGTCTCTGAAGTGTCTGAAATTGTATGCAAATTTTTGTCTGGTTATGCTTGCCTGACTGGGTGTAATGCCCCTCGCCTTCACAGATTCTCAGAGGGTCCAAGAACAATTGGTGTTCATGTTTTCAGGATCATATATCAAATAATGGAGTAGGCAAGTATATCAAGGAAGAGATGTCAGCTCTTACAAGTAAAAGGACAAGAATTTATATCACATTTTATCTTTCACAGGGTTACATGATGAAAAAGGGCCACAGACGGAAAAACTGGACTGAACGATGGTTTGTACTAAAGCCCAACATAATTTCTTACTATGTGAGTGAGGATCTGAAAGATAAGAAAGGAGACATTCTCTTAGATGAAAATTGCTGTGTAGAGGTGAGTCTAGTGTTACTTCTTTGCATTATTACCCCATGCTGCCCCCTGATGCTGAAGTAGCTTCTCACCTTCTTCCACCTAGACTCTAGAACCTTAAAATAATCCCCAAATTTACATTTCCAAAATAACATAGGCATACAGTTGCCATGGTTTCTGAACCAAACATTAAAGACAGCTGACAAAATTTTTTTCTAATATGAATTTATTTTCAACCTTATACTTGTGAACAAAATATAAGGATTAAATCATTTATTGGAACATTTAAGGAATCATTTATTGAATAAAATGGAGTCATAAAAGAGATAATAAAGTAAAAACAATGTTCAGTAAGACAATATTTGGAATCACAAATATGCCAGAAAATCTGGGACATTTTGAGTGCAAGAAGTAAAAGAAGATGTAAGCATTGTCTTTGAATACTTTGGGTGACTTTCAGGACACTTTGTTCATAGGTACTAATTCTTGAAAGAAGTGAAATTCTCAAGAACATAAATTTTTGAGTTTTTAATTTTTATATGAACTGTCCCCGTGTCTGTATGTGTTGAAGAACATTTAAATACCTGAAATCTCACGCATAAACTATAATGTATTTTAGTGAATAATAATGTCTTGAGATGTGTAAAGCCCATGAAGGAGTCTGCTTTTAACTAAGCATAGAGAACTACAAGGCTACCAAAGGCCAGTTTACTCATAAACATATAGGACAGAAACCACAGGTTGCCAGCCACAACATTCCAAGTGCAAGGAAAGAAAGCCACATGATGCAGATGTAGGAATCACCCTAGCTTAGGTGCTTCATATCCCACAGGGTTAATACCTCTTGTAACATCATCACAGATATACCTTCCAGGATTCCTGCAAGGGAGGTGCTCAGGGTAAGAGCTGCTATGCCCAGGAAATCGCAGTGCATGGCATTCTATCAGGTGTTTATAGTTTTCCCAATCTAGATGTAGTATACCAATGGGGTCATTTTTACCGTAAGTAATGTGCTTAGGGAACAGCATTAGTAAATAAGTAATATGCATTTATAGGTATTTTTCATTGACATTAAGTTTCAGCTGATTTTTACTTAAAATTTTGAAGAACTAACTTTGCTTTCTGTTTCAGTCCTTGCCTGACAAAGATGGAAAGAAATGCCTTTTTCTCGTAAAATGTTTTGATAAGACTTTTGAAATCAGTGCTTCAGATAAGAAGAAGAAACAGGAGTGGATTCAAGGTAAGGTGATTTTTATTATTTGCCATTATATAACTTGAGAGCTCTGAATTTCTTTTTTTCTTTTGAGATGGAGTCTCGCTCTGTCGCCCAGGCTGTAGTGCAGTGGCGTGAACTTGGCTCACTGCAACCTCCACCTGTGGGTTCAAACAGTTATCCTGCCTCAGCCTCCAGAGTAGCTGGGACTATAGCCAGCATGCCCAGCTAATGTTCTTGTGTTTTTAGTAGAGATGGGGTTTCACCATGTTGGTCACATTGGTCTCAATCTCCTGACCTTGTGATCCACCTGCCTTGGCCTCCCAAAGTGCTGGGGTTACAGGCGTGAGCCACTACGCCCAGCTGAGACCTCTGACTTTCTAGTTTTGAATCTCATGAAGGATACTAAGGCATTATTTCCTCATTGTCTGTAGTTATTTCTGCATGTGATACAGTAGCTGAGAGAAAAACAAATTAAGATGAGCTCTCAAAGTTTTCATTAGTTTTGTTTGCATAATGAACCTGGGGTAAATTATAAATGGGAGATTTACTTTTTAAATAGATTTTGGGGTTGCAAGTAAAGTTTTGCTACAGTAATATATTGTGTAGTGATGAAATCTGGGCTTTTAGTGTAACCATCACTTGAATAGTAGCTTTTAGGTAATTTCTCATCCCTTGCCAGCCTCCTGCCTTCCCACATTTCTGAGTCTCCAATGTCTAGTATTCCATGCTCTATGTCCACGTGTACACATATTTTAGTTCCCACTTAAAAATAAGAACATGTAGGCCCGGCACGGTGGCTCATGCCTGTAATCCCAGTTCTTTGGGAGACTGAGGTGGGTGGATCACAAGGTCGGGAGATTGAGACCATCCTGGCTAACACGGTGAAATCCTGTCTCTACTTAAAAAAAAAAAAAAAAGCACATGTGGTATTTTATGTTCTGTTTATGGGTTATTTCAAGAAATACTTCAAGATAATAGCCTCTAGTTCTATCCATATTGCTGCAAAAGACATTATTTCATTCTTTTTTTTTTATGACTGAGTAGTATTCCAAGGTATATGTGTATATGCACACACTACAACTGTTGGTGGACCACGTGGGTTGATTCCATATCTTAGAGATTTTAGGTTTTACTTACTATTTGAAGAGTATAGAATTTTCCCCTTTAAGGACTGTGAAGAATTTTAAAGTGGCCGTCTTGAGGTTGAGGTAATACGTAAAAGAAAAGAGGAATTATGCAATAGTTTTTTAATACTTCAAGTGATTTTCAAGATCCATTACTTCCATGAGAAATTACTAATTTTAGGTAACTCAAGAACACAAACTTTTGAATTAATAACCTTTTAAAAAAATAATTTCAACTTTTATTTTAGATTCAGGGGTACATGTGCAGGTTTGTTACATGGGTGTATTGTGTAATGCCAAAGTTTGGGGTATGATTGAATCTATCACCTGGGAAGTGAGCATTGTACCCAACAGAGTTTTCCAACCTCTTCCCCCTCTCTACCTCCCATCCCAGTAGTCCCTAGTGTCTGTTGTTGCCACTTTTATGTCCGTGAGTACCCAGTTTTTAGCTCCCACTTATTAGGGAGAACATTCATTAATTGGTTTTTTGTTCTGTGTTAATTTGCTTAGGATAGTGGCCTCTAGCTGCATTCATGTTGCTGCAAAAGACATGATTTTGTTCTTTTTTATGGCTCCGTAGTGAATGAATAACTTTAAAGTGTTTCATTATTCCAAAATTAGTAAAGAATAAAATACAATATAAGAGGGCTTTTTAAAAAAAAATCCTGAAAGGAGATTCTGAATATTATATTCTTAGACATAGATAAAATTATGTTATATTGGAGAATTTTTGATGTGGTTTAAGAGTTCGAGGCAAATGCATCTGGTTTGAATGCTCTTTCCTGGGTCTCTTGGGTTGAGTTATGAATTCTGTAACTGCTTTTCTCTTCTGTGCAGTGGGGATAATAATAGTACCTTCTTCCCAGGGTGGTGGTGAGGGTTAGAAAATAGATAATGACAAATATACTGACACATTTTTCAAAATGACATAGATTGCAAACAATCTAGCTAGCTGTTAATAGGGAAATAGTTGAATAAGTTATGGTTTAGCTGCACAATGGTGTGTACAATGCAGTACTTTATGTACAGTACTTTATGTATCGATACTGGGAACTGTGAGATAGATTAAATGAAAAAAACTGAGGGTCAGAAGAGTGTGTTGTGCCATCATTGTGTGAAAAGAAGGTGGAAGACATATATACATATTTATTTGTATAGGCTTATACTATCTCAGGAAAGATGCATAAGAAACTGTTACCTTTAGTTACTAGTGGGGAGGGGAATCCAGTACTTGAGGTACAGGAGTAGAAGGGAGCTTTCCTGTGTGTCTTTGAATTTGAACTATGTGAAAGTATTAGCTATTCAAGAAATTACATTTAAGTAATTTAAACTATCAAAAGAAAAATCAGATGTTGTATAAAAGTTAGATAATGCATGTAAAGGATATATTTATTTTATTTTTAAAATAAATGACAGCTGCTGTTACCTGTTATCTCAGGAAGGGGTTGCATAAGGCATAGATGATAGGCCAACTAAACACAGTAAGTTGCAAATTAGGTATCAGAAACTTGAATCTCTGTCCTTACTATGTCTTAATCTTGTTTGGCTTTTTGAGAAGTATAGAGAAAGGAGTTGAAAGTATTGTCATTAGTTCTTAAAAATGTGTGCAATATTCCGAGATTGAGTGCTTCTGAGCACAGATACAGTTACGGAATTTTGGAGCTAGAAAGGACTTTATAGATCATCTCTCATTTTAGAGATGAGGAAACTGATGCTGCAAGAGGTTATTTCTTGAGGGGAACTCTGAAAACAACCAAGAGGTTATGTGGCTGCTCAGGGTCACCCCACTACGGAGTGGCAAAATCAGAATCTACACTGGGCCTCTGGCTCCCTGTCTCGTTTTCTTCCCACTGTGCCATTTGCATAGTAGGCTTACAAAGAATAACTATTATTTCCCCATTTTTTTTTCTCCTACACCTTTTACAGCCATTCATTCTACTATTCATCTGTTGAAGCTGGGCAGCCCTCCACCACACAAAGAAGCCCGCCAGCGTCGGAAAGAACTCCGGAAGAAGCAGCTGGCTGAACAAGAGGAACTGGAGCGACAAATGAAGGAGCTCCAGGTTGCCAACGAAAGCAAACAGCAGGAGCTGGAGGCTGTGCGGAAGGTGGGAATGGGCGCTGGGCTGGGAGAGGGCCTTTCATTCCCCTGCAGAAGCCATCGTGCCTTGCTTAGGGGCGTTGGTTCTACCAAGACGAATGTAGTGCAGTTTTAGGGAGATACTTGTGGTGAACTGTTCTCAGAAGTGTTTCCAGACCATCAACTGAGACACACTGGTTTTCCTAGCCCTGAAACCATGTTGATCTCGGCAGCAAAAACATTTCGTTGGCTAGGAAGGAATTTTAATAATAATGAGCACAGTTGAATTTTGTCAGAAGAAGATGGGAAATTTCATTCCCTTGAGGATGTCAAGGCTGTTTTTAGTGACCTGGGCAAGGTGTGTTGCTTTTTAGTTTTCTCCTTAGCTCCCATCTTCACTCATGAGTACCTTGGAAGACGCTTAACTGTTAGTTTTACGTACTATTTGGAGTTAAGATACAGTCTGGGTCAGCTTTTCCTTCCATCTCAAGGCTAGGAGGTCAAGTACCATATGCTGTATGAGATAGTTGATGTTCACTGGGAACAGTTCCTTGGTTATGTCATGATCCCAGGGGTGGTAGTGAGTTCCCAGTATATGCGTATGATCTTTATTTGAGACACTTTTGGGCTGAGTCTGTCTGCCTTGAATCAGTGAGCACCTGCTAACCACAAGCTCAAGGACGCTTTCGTGCAAATCTGTGCAAAAACTTTGCCCTGGGATATGGGGGCGCTCATAATCTATGACTCCACATTCCTAGTGGGGTTCTCCCTTGGTAACCCATAGAAATGCCACATTGTGTGCTGAACTTCCTCTGAGTAGGGTAGACTCATGAAGATTTTAAAGAATGCTTTTATAATCTTAGGAGTTGCATGGGCATATATATAATCTTAGAAACAGTTATTACTATCACACACTTAACTTTGTAAAAGCAGCTCCTCGTTTCTGACTGCCTCCCGCCCCCGAAACACTCTTGCATCTTGCCTCTTTCTGCTGCAATACATTTTCTGCAAAAATTCCCTTTAAAGGTTACACTGAGCACCTGCAGTATGTGATTGCTGCTGCTTCCTTTCACTGTGCACACATCAAAAGTGGGTGTTATGAGGGAATGGCGGGGAGCTAGAACTTGGTGTCTTTTTTAAGAATTTTAAAATTATAAAGTACCTTGTACCTGCAGAGGAGAATATGAAATGTGTATATACAAATAATCATACAGTGAATACCCATGAAAATACTACCCAGGTTAAGATAGATTATTGCCAGTACAGGTTGGGTATCCCTTATCCGAAATGCTTATGACTCGAAGTATTTCAGATTTGGGATGTTTTTGGATTTTGGAATGTTTACTTTATATACCGTATTTACCAGTTGAGATCCTCTTGCCTCAGCCTCCCAAATCCAAAAGTCTGAAATTTGAAATGCTTCAGTGAGCATTTCCTTTGAGCATTATGTGAGAGCTCAAAAAGTTTCGGATTTTGGAGCATTTTATATTCTTTATTCAAATCTTTTCCTCATCCCTAACCCCTGGAAACCACTGATCAATTCTCTGTTCCTGTATTTTTGCCTTTTGCAAATTGTCATATAAATGGAATCATACAGAATGTACATTTTAAGACTGGATTCTTTGACTTAGCGTTGTATATTTGAGATTCATACATCGATGCCCTTTTTAACACTACATGCCATCCAGGAGCATGTAGTGTTCTGCTCTGTATAATGTGAAGAAGGCATGCCTGGTGTTAGCAAGCTGTAGACCTGTGTAGACAGCTTTCCCACTACCTAGGTTTATAGAATTATTTAAATGACTGATTTAGGATTCTTGGATAAGTGCTGAAAAATTCTTATAGATAGCTTAATAATCTTTGATTTTCTTGTCAACTAACACAGTTCTCCAATTTTTTCATGGAGGCATTCTTAGAAAAACACAGCTTAGATGAATATTTAATTAAATTTATTTATTTTGGGACAGGGTCTCACTCTGTTGTTCAGGCTGGAGTGCAGTGGTGCAATGGTTGCTTACTCCCCTGCTCAAGAGATCTTCTTGCCTTAACATCCCAAGTAGCTGGGACTACAGGATAATTTTTTGTATTTTTAATAGAGATGGGGTTTTGCCATGTTGCCCAAGCTAGTGTTAAACTCCTGGGTTCAAGTGATCCACCCACCTCAGCCTCCCAAAGTGCTGGGATTACAGGAATGAGGCACCATGCCCAGCTGAACCTTTTAATCATCTGGAATTAGGTTACGTATCTGTGGGTTTCTTAAAATTTGACAGGCCTCATTTTAATTAGAAGAAGGAATAAGAAATCATGGTAGTTTTTATAAATTAATAGATTTAAAGGGTTTACTTAAATTTTTATTTCTACTTTTGTTTCTTTTAAAAAATCATTTGGGTAGGTTCAAAATACACATATATAAAAAGGCAGCTGTGAAAGATTTCCTCCCCCTCCCCCACTTAGGAATTTCCACCCCTTGCCCAAGGTTAGGAAATATGAATATACATTCTTGTTTTCCCATTTTTTAAACACACAAAAGTATATACCAGTATTACTGTTCTGCCTCTAGTTTATTTCACTTAATTTATTTTTTAGATCTTTCCATATCAGTATAAAGAGAGTTTCCTCTTTTTTTTTTATGGCTGTAGAGTATTCTGTTATACAACAGTGTCATTACTTAATCATTCCCTGTTAGTGAACATCTGGGTTGTTTTAATCTTTTAATAGGTAATGCTGTAGGGAATTATCTTGTACCTGTGTCATTGTATATGTGTTCACATATGTTCTGATATCTCTGGGGAATGAATTCTCAGAAGTGGGAATGCTGGGTCAAAGTGTGTAATTATGAAATCCAGGCTGATGGACCAGCCACCATCTTGAGTGTTGCTATTCACTGTGCTGGAACAAAAAGTGTTCTAGGGTTTGGCAGTGCAGTGCTCCAGCCCAGAAATGTCACACTATACTTCTATTTATAACATTTTGGTCAGAACTAGTCAGAACTTTCTGATGAGAAGTCAGCTGTCAGGCTTGCAGGAGTGCGCTTGTGTGTGGTAAATCATTTTTCTTTTTCTGCTTTTGAGATTATTTTTTGGTCTTTGTCTTTCAGCAGTTTTACTGTGGTGTATGTGGGTGTAGATCTCTTTGTGTTTATCCTCTTTAGAGTGTATTGAACTTGAATATGTAGATCAATGTTTTGCCTTAAGCTGGATAAGTTTTCAGCCACAAATATTTTTTCTGCTTTTTTCTCCCTCTTCTGATACTTCCATTATGCAAATGTTGGTAAACATAATGGTGTCCCACATTTCTCTAAGGCTGTGTTCATTTTTCTTCTTCTTTTTTTTCTTTCTGTTTTCCAGTTGCATAACTTACATAGATCTATCTTTAGTAGATTTTTCTTGTAGCGCAAATATACTGTTGAGTCCCTCTAGTGAATTTTTCGTTTCAGTTATGGGACTTTTTACTTCCAGAATTTCCATTTGGTTCTTTCTGTGATTTATATCTCTTTATTATTCTCTATTTGATGGGATATTATCATTCCTTCCATTACTTCTGTAAGTATGGTTTCCTCTAGTTATTTGAGCATACAATATTTTATAACTGCTTTGAAGTCTTCATGTGCTAAATCCACCATCTGGGCCTCTTCATAGGCAGTTTCCATTGCCTGCTTTTTCCCCTGTATGTGGGCCATACTTTCCTCTTTCTTTACGTGTCTCATAATTTATTGTAGAAAACTAGACATTTTAGATAATGTGTGGTAGCAACTCTGGATTCTGATTCTACCCTTCTCCCCAAAGGCCTGTTGTGGTTTGTTCCTTTATTTGTTTAGTGACTTGGCTGAACTATTTCAGTGAAGTTTGTTTTCCTCACAGTGTGAAGCTTCTGACTATTGCTCCTCAGAGGCGCAGGCTTGGACAGGAGCACAGTCACCCTGTGAAGACCCTGATTTTTGCAGGGCACTCTTTGGGTGTCTTTCTGTGATCTCTCATTTAAGCTTTCCACCTCTGTTGGTACCACACCAACAGCTGTTAGAGTTCACTAATTTTGTTCTGTTGTTCTCCACAATGCCCTGAAACCTGAATTGCCTCACAGTCTGAGATCATTTAAATTCAGGCCTACATGTAGTCTTTAAGGTCAGTCTTTGAGACTTGTTCCTGCTACATGAGAACTCTTCTTGGCTGTCTCTTTCTCTGGTTCTCTCTGTCAGACGTTTGGCTAGTCTGGCAAGAGCAGTGGCTCACACCTGTTAATTGCTTTGGGAGGACAGGGTGGGAGGATCACTTGAGGCCAGGAATTTGAGACTAGCCTGGGCAACATAGCAAGACCTCATATCAGTCAACCAACCAACCAACCAACAACACTCTTAACTGGTCTGTGGGTTAGCGTGTTGTTCTCATGGAGCCACCAGCCTCCTCTTAATTCTCAGCCACTCTTGCCTGGAATAAAGTTTCTGCAACATGCAGCTGGGGACAAAGAGAAATTCTGGCAGCCAGCCTGCCCCTCTCAGGAAGATATCATAGCCCTAGACCTGAGCTGAGGGGAGGGGAACCCTTGTTTGGGGTTCCATTTGCCAGGAGAAGAGCTTCCTTCTCACTGACACTGTGGGGGAGGGGAGGGAGTGCATCATATGCCACAGACCCTCACTGTTCTTACTGAGAGTTAGATTTTCTTAGATAAATGTTCTCTATTTTAGAATGTCCTTAGCATAATTTCTAGAGACTTTTAAAGGTTTTGTTTTTTTAACAATAATTTTCACCAGTTATGGTTGTTTTACTGGGGAAAGGGTCTGTGGAGTTCCTCGTGCCACCCTTCTAGAAATTGGTTCTGGTAAAAGTTATAAGGAATAATGTATAAGATGACAAAACTGTACAGAAAGAGCTCAAGAAACAGCTCTCGAATCTCATGAATGTGGCTGGGCATGGTGGCTCACACCTGTAATCCCAGCACTTTGGGAGGCTGAGGCAGGCAGATCACGAGGTCAAGAGATCGAGACCACCCTGGCCAATATGATGAAACCTCGTCTCTACTAAAAATACAAAAATTAGCTGGATGTGGTGGTGGTGTGCACCTGTAGTCCCTGCTACTCGGGAGGCTGAGGCAGGAGAATCACTTGAACCCGGGAGGCGGAGGTTGCAGTGAGCTGAGATCGTGCCATTGCACTCCAGCCTGGCGACAGAGCAAGACTCAGTCTCAAAAAATAAATAAATGAATAAAAATCTCATGAGTGCAACTGCAAGTGAGTTTAATTCAGTGACTATACTAAAACTTTCTTTGCAAAATGTTGTTCAGGCTTATCAATAGTCTTTCATTTACCTAATTTATTTTATATGTTGACTCAGCAGATTGTTAGACTGGAATTCTAATGGAGCTGAAAGTTTTTATTCTATTATCTTTATTGAATGTTAAGAATGTTTGGCTTTTCCGGTACTTCAGTGTGACTGTCTCTCTCTCTCTCTAATGTACTTCTACTCTAACATCTGCTTTTCTGTGGATGGGTTTTTGATTGGCTAGAAACTGGAGGAAGCAGCATCTCGTGCAGCAGAAGAGGAAAAGAAACGCCTTCAGACTCAAGTGGAACTTCAGGCCAGGTTCAGCACAGAGCTGGAAAGAGAGAAGCTTGTGAGTGTCACGTGGCTGGAGAAAGCAGCTGCAGTAGCTCAGCCTGGGTCTGTGGGAACGGGGAAGGGCTGGAGGCTACAGTGAGGCATGTCGTCAGCTTGGCTTTGCTACTGACCTGGAATGGGCTGTAGGGGAAGTTGCATGTTTGTTCATTCATTCATTATCTGTTTATTGAGCACCTTCTATGTGCCAGGCACTGTGCCAAAGATGTAATGGCAAAAGACATAAACCTTGTTTTCAAGACTCCTAAGTGGAAATTTATGGAGCCAGGCACGGTGGCCCACTCCTGTAATCCCAGCACTTTGGGAGGCCAAGGCATGAGGATTGCTTGAGCCCAGGAGTTCAAGACCAGCCTGGGCAATATCTACCAAAAAAAAAAAAAAAAAAAGAATTAGCCAGGCCTGTTGGTAAATGCCTGTAGTTCCAGCTACTCAGGAGGCTGAGGTGGGAGGATTGCTTGAGCCCAGGAGTTCGAGGCTACTGTGAGCTGTGATTGTGTCACTGCACTCTGCACTCCAGCCTGAGTGACAGAGCAAGGCCCTGTCTCCAAAAATAAAAATAAAAGAAAGAAATTTGTGGAATGATGTGATAAATGCTTGGTTAGGGTGACTATATTTCCTAGTTTGCCTGGGAGAGTCCCTGCCATTCTGGTATAATTATTAATAACATTCCTTTTCATTCTCAAAATAGTTCTGATTTGGAAAATGAATAGTTATGGAAAAAGTAAGCATAGGTTCCATGGCATTTCTCCTCTGTAATAAGCAAGGATGGCAGGGGTGAGATCCTGAAATTGTGAGAACATCTAGATTCTGATTTGTTGCTCTTGGCAGCTCTGGTTCATCCTAGAGGCTTCCATCTTCAAGAGACGCAAGATCCAGGTTGTCTTAGGTAGTTACCTGTTTAGCTAGAACACAGGTCTTCTTACATTGAGTGATACTCTGTCGGAGAGTGCTGAGTCCAGTACCTAAATAGATGCATGTGACATTTCCTCTAGTCACTCTTTGTTATTTAGAGTTGAAAGAGATGTGTTTGTGGTTTGAGAGAAAAGAGGAAGGCAGATGTGACGTAGAGAAACAGCCAGAAGGTCTGGTCTTGTTTCCTCTCTGGTCCTTCTTATTGAGCACTGGCTTTCTCTTCTTTAAGTACAGGATGATCACATGCTCTCTCATGACTCTTATGAGGACAGAGTGAGCTAATGCAAGTGAAAATATTTTAACAACTGCAGAGAAGTAGGCTAATGTGTTTGTTATATTTAGGATGTTCTTGTAATTTTTAAGGCAGGGATTCAAAACTCTGTAATCCAGAAGGGAAAAACCATTAACTTACACAGACTAACTGAAATGCTTGAGTTCCCCTAGGGCTGGAGGTGCCCCAGGGAGTGGAGGCAGCCAGAGAAGTGCCAGAGGAATCCCATGCTGGCTGATCTTTCCTTCTTTAGTGTAACACTCTACTGTTCTGACTGGGAAAAGGTTCGTTCCTTTTAGAGAAGACTCTATTGGTAAAAAGATTGTGACTTTAAGACAGAAAGGAATTTAGAGAGAAATTATACAGGGAAACATTTTTTTCTTGACTTGAGTCTTAAAATGTGGAGTGGAAGGGACGGAAAATACAGCAGGGCAGAACATAATTTGGGTTATAATTTGCTCTTCCCAGACTCCTTCATTATTGCGATTGGGTGTGGTGCCCTCATCTCCTCCATCTTCAGTCCTTCAACGATTGAAGGACAGGGTCCTGCCACCCTGATGGGCTGAGGCTGCAGCTGTAGGCAACCCCTCAGGTGGAGGGGAGGCTTTCCCTGAAAAAGAAGTCAACCTGCACTTAAACAAGACCCTTCTATACCAACAGATCAGACAGCAGATGGAAGAACAGGTTGCCCAAAAGTCCTCTGAACTGGAACAGTATTTACAGCGAGTACGGGAGCTGGAAGACATGTACCTAAAGCTGCAGGAGGCTCTCGAAGATGAGAGACAGGCCCGGCAAGATGAAGAGACGGTGCGGAAGCTTCAGGCCAGGTGCTATATTGGTTTGCAGACTGCCTTTGTGTACTTTGCCTGGGCTAATACAGTTTCTTGGAATGACTAACACTCTGGTGGAGAGGGAGAAGTGTCTCTGCTCTGGCTGTGACTGAGCTCGAGGTGCTGTCCAGATTAGGGAGACCATGGATACTCGACTGGCTGGGGTGTTTCTTTTCATTCTGGGGCTCTGGGAAACCCTTGCTTCTGGGGCAAATAAGGGCCTATTTTGGAGCAGTCTGGTAGGTATGTTTGATGGGATACCCTTAGTCATATCCGAGAAAATCCACAAACCCAGAATTAGCTCTGATGAGAGCTTGGCATCTTCAGTATGTTCCAGACCAGAGAGGGCCATTGGTATGCAGGCAGGGGCCTATTCAGACCAAAGTTGCTGTCAGGTTTTGGGGAATAAGAAGGAAATATGCAGTTTCTATTTGGCCATTCGGGATTGGTAACATTCCTTCAGTAGTTACTACTTGAAATCCTAATTTTAAAAGTATTTGAAACCTAGATTTTTTTTTCCCCTTAGAACTTTATTTATGATAGTCATGTTCTCAGATGAAAATTCTCAATTTGGGGTCTTCATAGCAGCAGGGAGGATAAAATAAAATGAAGACTCCCAAAGGGAAAAATTGAGCATATCCTCTGCCAGTTTCTACTTTGCTGCCCCATTTACATTCTTTAAGATGTCTGGAATGGGAGACAACACTAAAAAGTATTTACTACAGTAGCAGCACATGGTCGAGTCTTTGATCTCTGACCCCCTGTTTTGGGGAGCAGTTATAAAATGAGCTGGGGTAGATTTTCCATGGCTGCCATTTTACATGTGGCAGCAAAAGATGTTTCGTTAGTCTTCAGATAGGAAGAGAAAGAAGAAGCCATCTTTAGTTGTTTATTTTGCCAAAAGTGACTTCAAAAATAAATAAATTGTTTTGGAAATTTAGATTTTAAATCTAATTTTTTTAAGGAAAAATTATTTTCTAAATAGAAAATTAAGCATGTAGCATATTGCCTGGCATTTATAGGCTCCACAGGTACAAACTTACTGCACTGTGAGGTTAACCAGGTTCTTGGAACTCCCTTCCAGTGCCACTGGGCAGTGATTTTAGCAGAAGATTCACTCTATGGGAATGTTTGAGTGCTGTGTGACGTCCAGAGTGACGTTCTACATGACACTCAACATTTTTTGAGCCTCCTCATGATTTGAGCCATGTTGAGAGTTTATAGATTGTTTTTGTGCAGAGAATTCACAGGTAAAATATGCTATATGTATTACTGCAGTTTTGTGGGAAATTTATTATGACACAGCAGAGACTAGATCACAGAAGGAACTGGATAACTCTAGAAATTCTAGTCTTTGTTATTTAGTGTTTATAGGATGAGTGATATTTTGAATAAGGGATAATTTTGGATAATTGAAGCCAGTGGTTTTTTAACCAATGTTATATATCAGAATCACCTGACAAAGCTTCTGAAAAATACACATGTAGGGCCTCACTCTAGATTTACTGAATCAAAATATGTGTGGATAGGAGCCAGACACAAGTGTTGTTATTTAAAAAGCTCTGGCTAGGCCAGGTGTGGTGGCTCACACCTATAATCCCAGCACTTTGGGAGGCCGAGGCAGGAGGATCACTTGAACCCATGAGTTTATGACCAGCCTGGGCAACATGGTGAAACCTCATCTTTTTTTTTTTTTTTTTTTAAAAAAAGGCTACTTGGGAGGCTGAGGCAGGAGGATCACTTGAGTCCAGGAGGTTGAGGCTATAGTGAGCTGCGTTTGCACCACTGTACTACAGCCTGGGGGACAGAATGAGACCCTGTCTCAAAAAAAAAAAAACACAAAACAACGACGACAAAAAACTCCAGCTAATTATTTTGCACACTCTGATTTAAGCAATAGCAAAATGCTTTCAACCTTTTGAATCCAGATACATACAGCTACATACAGCTCTGCTCTAATATGCTGAAAGTACTGCACACAAATTTAACTTTTTCTTGATGTGCAAAGGGCATTTTATGAATGTAATTATTTTATTATTCCAAATTATTTTTTTCTCTTAGTTTTTGGAACCTGAAATGGACAAATTTGCCACCCCCGCCCCCCCTTTTTTTTTCTGAGACGGAGTCTTGCTCTGTTACCAGGCTGGAGTGCAGTTGTGTGATCTTGGCTCACTGCAACCTCTGCCTCCTGGGTTCAAGCGACTCTCCTGCCTCAGCCTCCTCAGTAGCTGGGACTACAGGTGTGCACCACCACACCTGGCTAATTTTTGTATTTTTAGTAGAGATGGGGTTTCGCCATGTTGGCCAGGATGGACTCGATCTCCTGACATCATCATCCGCCTGCCTCGGTCTCCCAAAGTGCTGGGATTACAGGCGTGAGCCACCGCGCCTGGCCTAGTGGTCATTTTCAAGTGAAGTGTGTTCCTCTTTCCTGAAGTCACTGAAGGCTGTGCCTGATTCAGAGGGACTTTCTGTCAGATTGGCATGGAGGGTTTGTTCTTTGCTCCTCAGGATAGGCCTTTCTGGATAGAAAAAACAAGGGAAGTCATTCTGGAGTTGGGTTGGAAAACCAGCACTAATGAAATGAACATAATCTTATGCCAAGGGCCTGTGTAAAAGCCTGCTCAGTTAACTCTTCTCACTCCTTTCTTAAAGCAACAACTAATCACTTGTGGAATATTTGGAATCTCATTATTCTTCCTATGAATAGTTCTTTCTCTGTCAGTGTCTTAAGTTTACCCAGAGAAACTTTTTATAGTCAATTGTTTAAATAAAAGACAAGAACTTTAGCTTGAAACATCTAGATCTTGTAATTTTAAAATTATGATTGAAGTTTTTTTTTAACTTTTAATTTTTGTGGGTACATAGTAGGTGTTTATATTTGTGGGGGTACATGAGATATTTTGATACAGGCATACAATGTATAATAATCACATCAGGGTAAATGGGGTATCCATCACCTCAAGCTTTTATCCTTAGTCTTACAAACAGTCCATTATACTCTTTTAGTTAGTTTAAATGTACAATTAAATTATGATTGACTGTAGTCACTCTTTGTGCTATGACGTTTATTTTTTTTATGTGTAATCCTGAAGGTGATGTAGCCTCTTCTGAATGAGAACTCAGAAGAAAACTGTTCATTTAAAATTTAGAACACTTAAGTTACTGGCCGGACACCATGACTCATGCTGTAATCTCAGCACTTTGGGAGGCTGAGACAGGTGGATCCCTTGAGGCTCGGAGTTTGAGACCAGCCTGGCCAACATGGTGAAACCCTGTGTCTACTAAAAATACAAAAATTAGCTGGGCATGGTGGCATGCCTAAAATCCCAGCTACTTGGGAGGCTGAGGCATGAGAATCACTTGAACCCAGGTGGTAGAGGTTGCATTAAGCTGAGATAGTACCACTGCACTCCAGCCTGTCTCAAAAAAGAAAAAAAATGAAAAAGAAAAAAATAAGAAAAATCAAGTCATTGGAAAGTTCTTGAAGCTGAGCCATAATCTGTCCTATTATAACTCTTACCCACTTTGGATCTGTAACACCCAGGAGTATACCTTAGTCATGTCTGTATTCCCAGCAACTTGTACCTAGCACACAGTAAGTACCCAAGGAATATTTTTTGAATGAATGAATGGATCCAAGTTCTACCCAATGGGGCCACATGAAACAACAGTCCCTCTTCCATTTGATATTATACTTTTCATATATGTGAAGGGCGGAGACTGGGCTCTGGAGTGAGGCCACGGTTTGATTCCTAGCTCTGGTACTTTTAGCCGTGTAACTTGAGAGAATTACCAACTTTATACAGTTGTTGTGAAGATGAAATGAGATGATGCATGCAGAGTGTTTTAGAGTAATGCCTAGCATTTGGGAGTCACTCAGAGTGTGTTGCTTTCTGTTCCTTTATCTCATTTGCAGACAGCGAAGATATATAATGTGTAGAATGTAAAAATAAGCATTCAGAAAAAAGATGTTGACAGGCTAGAATGATGGTTTTAGACCAAGAAGATAATTTAACATATCAAAAGAACAAGCACAGGATCCAGGAGACTTGGCTTTATAGAAATTCATTTGAAAAGTTCTACAGTTTCATATCCCTGAAATGTGGTTGTCAAAACTCTATACACTCTTAGGCAGCCTTAATGAATGTGAAGTATCCAGAGCAAATGAGATAATTGTCCCTCTATAATGTGAGCTGTCCTTGCTACCAGTCCTTGCTGTAGTAGGCATGTAAATACCTTATGTGCATTATCACATTTAATACATTAATAAACCTTTGATGGTAGGTGTAGTTTCTATTCCTTTTTTGATAAATGAGGAAGCTGATACACAGAAAAAGAGTGAGGCACTAAAGTCTTTAGTCAGGAGTCTTGTTTGCAGACCACAGAAACCACCTTGTATTAGCTAAAGCAATAAAACAATTTGTTGAAAGTTTCTTAAATAATTTGCCAGTTCCACAGAAAGGCAGGTGACCAGGCCGTGAACACAGGCAGGAACCACAGGGGGATGAGTAGCCTCAACTACAGCCCAAGCCAGGCCATGGGAAGAGTCCAGTGAGGATGCCATTGGCGCCCATGTTGGTACCAGGCATCAGCAGTGCCATCGCGCCTACTGTCATTCAACACTGGATGTTACTGCCACCAGCAAGATGAATTCTCTACTGGCTTTGCTTCTTTGTGCCAGTTGCTTCAGAGTCAAAGTTCCAGAAGGAGCATCTACTTAGCTAAGCCTAGCTTGTGCCTCCACCATACCCTAGCTGCCGAGGGGTGGGAGGGCAGGGGTCTGGCCTGTGAATTTAAATTTCCAGGTGCTTAGGCTGCCCAGCCTCTGAACTCCTTCATGTGTCTGGAAATGTCCATTGCCCCTCCATATTTTTACCACTAGAATGAAAAAACAGACCCATCCAATATTGTTCATTCTCACATCCTCAGTGCCTAGAAAAGCATGTAGAAGGCACAGAAAATACACATCACCTGAGTGAATAAACTCTGCGCTGGTCAGACCACATCTGTAGTGTTGTGTTCTGTTGTGTACATCAAACTCCAAGAGACATCTGAGGAGACCTCAGTGTCTCCAAAGAAGGATATTGAGTCTGGAAGCTGGAGTTAAGGCTGGAGGTGGTCTTCTTAGGGAAGGATGTTCTCAGCAGGCAACAAAGCTGCCTTCCAGTTGCTGAAGGGCTATCACAGGGAAGAGGGAGTAGATACCTCCTTTGTGGAACTAGAGTAGTGGATGGGAGAGCTCATCTTAGTATAAGAAAAAAGGCCACTGAACCTTCGTGTCTCACTTGCATCATCTCTAAAATACGAGTAACAGCACCTAAATTTACTGTGAGGATTAATTGAGAAAATACACTTGCCTCTTAGGCCAGTTCCTGGCACACATTAAACTCTGGATAAATGTTATTTTTTATTTCACAAAAGGGTGAAACTGAGAGAGCTTACAGCAGGACACATGGGCTGCTTTACCAGCTTTGTGAATATGAGCTTCTCTGACTCCTGCTTTCCTCCTGGTGGAATGAGAGGCGGATTAGACGACCTCAAATATTCTCTTGTCTAAAATGCTTCCCTCGTCTGCTGGGTCAGGGTGGTGACTTGGGCAGGATTTGATCTGGAGCTTTCTTCCACATCGTAGGTTATTGGAGGAAGAGTCTTCCAAGAGGGCTGAACTAGAAAAGTGGCACTTGGAGCAGCAGCAGGCCATTCAGACAACTGAGGCGGAGAAGCAGGAGTTGGAGAATCAGCGTGTCCTGAAGGAACAGGCCCTGCAGGAGGCCATGGAGCAGCTGGAGCAGCTTGAGTTAGAACGGAAACAAGCACTTGAGCAGTACGAGGTGATGAGACTTGGCCCTGCAAACTTCTGTATTTAAATTTTTGAAAAACATTTCTCAATAATAGAATTATTTATTTAGCTGCCAATATGAAGCTGTAGTAAGAATCTTGCTTAGCTGTAAGAAAGAAGAAAGAGGGCGTTTTTATAGGAGATAAGATGTATTATACATCCATCAGAGACAGAAACTGTACAGTAATTTGAACAGGGAAAGTTTAATATAAAACATTATTAACTGTAACAGGGAATTACCTACTGTGTTGTAAAGAAGGCTTTGAGAATGCAGGAATGGCAGACGTAGGGAGCAGCCACTGCCTCAAAGACTGAGGCAGAGCACCAGGGAGGGAATGGATCTGGAAGAGGATTCTTTGCTCCTTGCCCCATAACCCCAGTGCTGTGATCCAGACCTCTGTGGAGAGGGTGGCTGGATGGCAGAAAAGTTTGTTGAAGTGCTGTGCCAGCAAAGCTCAGTGGGAGGCCACCTTTTGGGGCACTGGCAAAAGCTTCCCACAGGGAGGTGCTACAAAAACTCACCGGTGGTGAGCACTTTGGGTGTTCTGAGTGCCACAGGAGCCACTGAGTGGAACCTAGAAGAAAAGTCCCTCCCTCCTTGTGTCCCTTCAGCACCCTCTAGTGACAAAGCTTTATGCTGCCAGCTAGTTAGGGAGAATTATTTTAGTATCACCAGCAGGATGGTTCAGGGTGGATTTGGAGTGGAGAGGCAGTAAACTGTAACCGGCACACAGAGCCATACACTCATTATAATTAGTGTGCAGATGGTAGAAGAATAGGCTTTGGAATCAGACAGCCTGGGTTCCAGTTCTGGCTCTACCATTTCCTGTTGTGTGACCCTAGGCAGGTTACTGACCTTCTCTGAACCCATTTTCACTCTGTACAATGGGGTAATAGTAATTCCCGCTTCTTAGAATGGGCTATGAGAGGATTTAATGAGATAATTCACAAATATGTAGTAAGGGCCCAATAGTTGTGATTTGGTTCTTAAACTACCTGTGTGTCTGCATAGTCCAAAATCTACTTTTGTTTCAGGAAGTTAAAAAGAAGCTGGAGATGGCAACTGATAAGACCAAGAGCTGGAAGGACAAAGTAGCCCATCATGAAGGATTAATTCGACTGATAGAACCAGGTAACAACAGACTCTATGAAGTAATCATATTTTAATTTTAATTTAATTTAATTTATTTATTTATTTACTTTGAGACAGAGTCTTGCTGTCACCCAGGCTGGATGGAGTGCAGTGGTACGATCTCGGCTCACTGCAAGCTTGCCTCCTGGGTTCACACCATTCTCCTGCCTCGGCCTCCGGAGTAGCTGGGACTATAGGCGCCCGCCACCACACCTGGCTAATTTTTTGTATTTTTAGTAGAGACGGGGTTTTATCGTGTTAATCAGGACGGTCTCGATCTCCTGACTTCGTGATCTGCCTGCCTCAGCCTCCCAAAGTACTGGAATTACAGGTGTGAGCCACTGTGCCCAGCCCATATATTTATTTTTAAATTTATTTTTCTGTTTCACTTGTGTATTTGAATTGTACTAAAGAAACTTTTTTAGCCCAAATGTAAAAAAAAAACAAGCTGTTTAGGGTAAATTTCTCTTGAAAACCTTATCCCCTAACAGGTAAGAGCACCCAGTTAATCCCCTCGGTATACATCTTCTAATTGTTTTAGCTGGTATGACATTTATGGATGTTCCTCAAAGAAGAAATAAAGTAGGAAAGTTACTGTTTTGTCTGTAGAAAAATGATGGAGTACCCTGAAGAATATAATACTTCCTGTATTTAAAGCATGTTTGTCTCTTAGGTTCAAAGAACCCTCACCTGATCACTAACTGGGGACCTGCAGCTTTCACTGAGGCAGAACTTGAAGAGAGAGAGAAGAACTGGAAAGAGAAAAAGACCACGGAGTGACTGAGCTTGCTGGCAGTCACATCAGTTATGTAGATACTGCATGGCAGGAGAGCTTTACGCTAAAGACAAAAGAAATGGCTTTGGGGGCTGGGCGCGGTGGCTCACGCCTGTAATCCCAGCACTTTGGGAGGCCGAGGTGGGTGGATCACCTGAGGTCAGGAGTTCAAGACCAGCCTGGCCAACCTGGTGAAACCCCGTCTCTACTAAAAATACAAAAAAAATTAGCTGGGCGTGGTGGTGGGCGCCTGTAATCCCAGCTACTTGGGAGGCTGAGGCAGGAGAATCACTTGAACCTGGGAGGCGCAGGTTGCAGTGAGCTGATATCATGCCATTGTACTGCAGCCTGGGTGACAGTGTGAGACTCCATCTCAAAAAAAAAAAAAAAAAAAAAAAAAAACCGGCCTTGCTGCTTTTAACTGTTCTTCCTTCCATGCCTCTCCAAGTGGGTCAATATCCTAAGGAAGCCTTCTTATTTATCTTCCTGCAAACAAGGGCTACCTGAAAAGAGAAAAAAAAAAAAAGTCAGCATTGTCAAGCTGTTTATTTACTCTTTCTTTGAAAACATCACCTTCTGAAATTTGTCTTTTAGCTCTCTCAGATTCTTCCCCAAATGAGGCAGGGTGCAGACAGCACAGTCAGCTCTGCAGAGTTTGGAGCGGCTCACTGCCATTGGGTACTCAGAACCCTGTGGACTGGATGTTAGCTCTTTCCTTTGGCAGCGTGTTTCCTTTGTTTCCTTCTCTGAGTATGTGCTGTTAAACTAGATTGGCCAGTTTGCTTTCCATTCCCTGACACTTGGCATGGAATGCCTTTGACTATTGGTGCTCTGACAGAGAAGTCACGGAGTCACTGCCATTTCCTGGTTGCCCTTTTGGAATGTAATCCTGTTAGTAGAGGTTTTCTAGCTTCTGCTAAGATATTTCTTTCCCTAACCATCATACACTTGGCATGTTTCATTCCCATCTCCTTTCCCTTCACCTTAAAGGAGACTACCCCTTTGCCCCATATTGTCAACCTAATTTTCTTTCGTCCTCTCTCATTGAATGATGTGCTACCAGGTATATGCCAGGCTGTGAGAGGATTATGCTGAGTAGTAGAAAGAAGCTAATTTGAAATAAAAATTATTTGGATCATAAAGAAAGCAGATGAGATGCACATGGCCAACAGGAAGTTGACTGTATGTCTGCTAGTTAGATTCAAAACATCATAAAGATGATAGCATGTCAATATATTAGCCTAGCCATAATGTTAGCCTTTGTTAGGTGGGCAGCTTTTCTGCCTTTTCCCTTCCTCTATAGTGACAATGGAGAAAATATCTAATAGAAATAAGTGTAACAGGGAAATTGGGATCATAGTTTATAGGCATCTGATTTGAAAGGAGTATTAAGGAAGGTTTTCTATCTTTAGATTAAAAAGAACATTTATGAAATCAAGCCTTCTAACACTAGTTATAATTGAGAAGCAACAGTAACTCCATGGACAGCAATCAAGCTTAAAATTGTAAATAAATATGAGGATAATTCAGTTCTTGCAAAAAAGGGCAGAATTCAGTAGAATAAAGTCCTTTTCTCTCTATAAGTATTAAATGAGGACAGAGAACCTCAGGTGTTCAACCTCAGTGCTTGCTGAGTGCATACTAAGAAAGCAATTCCAAACAGATGTATACATCGAGAGAGAGTGGTATTAGAGGTTTCAGTATATGTATTTATTTACATGAGAGGAAACTGGAATATAATCCCATAAATTATCACATTTTACGACTGGAAAATATTTGCCAATGAAGAAATGCTCTGTAGGTATTTGTGTTAAGATTTTGGGCTGTTTAATAAAAATGTAACTTTATTTAATGATTTCTTATAGTTGCCTTTATAAAGTTTATTGTCTAAAATATTTTTGTATCATGTGCCTTTGAAATTTGCCAGCTGATTTGGGTGTTGGATTTCTGCCCAGACATTTATCAGTATTACCATTTTATTCAGTAGCTGGCAGGTATATAGACCAACGAGACTTAGGTAAGGAATGGAACCTTTCCTGTGGTTTGATTGCACATTACACCAGAAGACTCCAGTATCCGTCATTCCAGAATGAGGAAACAGTATTTTGCAAAGAACCTAGTCACCTATGTGAAATCTATGGGATGGAAACAGTGTGGCCTTGGGAGTCAAATAGTCTCTGCATGGTGGGGAGGGTCATGATGGAATATGTGAATTTCTACTTCTAGAAGTTGTGAAATAGGCCCTGCACTTTTGCAGAATGTCCTTCCTTAAACCTTGCTTATTCTACAACTGTAGCTGATAACATGACCTGGGGCTTAGCTGCTCTAGCCCTGGGTTCTTGAAGACCTCACTGCCTGGCCCCTGGTCATCCGCCTAATGACTGCATGCTTTCTGGTCACATGTGGACCTTGACATGACCAAGCTGTTATATATGTGGTTGCGCAAAAGCTTTCTGTTTAATGCGTAGTGTTATTACATCTTGGTTTTCAGTGGCACTATGTCTAGAAGGCAAAATCCTTTTAAACAGTGCTTTGGCTAAGATAGATACTTGTGAATCAAAGATGGCAAAGAAATGAACTAAGTATATTCCATTTGGAATTATATTTTGATACTAAGTGAATTCTTCCTAATATTTAAAATGGTTTCACCTGTCAAAGGGCCAACAGAACTCTTGGTTTTACTTTTGTAATTACTGTACAGAAAATTTCAGGAGTGTTTGAGTGCTTGTCATCAGGTGTTTTCCTTAATAAGTAGGGATATGATCAGTTACAGGAATTATACATGAAAAAAGTTTTTGAAATGTATTTTTGTGATGTGCTATGTTGAGAGGAAACCAAATATTTATGATTTTAAAACATTCGTATGAAACCATTGTACAATGTAATATGCTCAACTTTCTCAATTTTTTGCTGATTTTTCTAAGATACATTAAAAATGTTTTGTATTTTTTTTTTAAGTAAAATGGACCCAGTAAGAAAATTAAAAATACCAGAATATACATTTACTGTCTGATTTAATAAAACAGTGGGGGTAAAGTTGGGTGTATCTGTATGTGTTTTCATATGAGATGGACTTTGGTTTAGGGACACTTCCTGAAAACACTGGGTTTGCAGTTTAGAACCCAAGAAGTTAGCTATGGCCTCATCTTTGGTGTTTGAGTCACGAATGTGGGCAAGCCATGGCTGATGTGTCAGCTCACAAACGGGAACTTACAAAGATGATTTCTCATTCATTGTTGCTGTTACCTTCAAATTTTCTTACCTCTGTTTTCCTTAGTTTTTTTTATGCCTTTCAGTTTTTCTTTCACCAGAGTAAACCATGTGGCTTTTTGTTTGTTGTTGTGGTTTACATTGTTGCCAAGATAAAATGCCTATTGTGGACTAAGTGGGCCCACTCAGTCCAGCTTGAGTGTATATTGGAAAACTGATCTTTCCCTCTTGGAGGGAGGGAGAGGACACTGGTTGGTGTGTTTAAAAACTGTTCTTTCGGGCCGGGCGCGGTGGCTCAAGCCTGTAATCCCAGCACTTTGGGAGGCCGAGACGGGCGGATCATGAGGTCAGGAGATCGAGACCATCCTGGTTAACACGGTGAAACCCCGTCTCTACTAAAAAATACAAAAAACTAGCCGGCCGAGGTGGCGGATGCCTGTAGTCCCAGCTACTCGGGAGGCGGAGGCAGGAGAATGGCGTGAACCCGGGAGGCGGAGCTTGCAGTGAGCTGAGATCCGGCCACTGCACTCCAGCCTGGGTGACAGCGCGAGACTCCGTCTCAAAAAAAACAAAACAAAACTGTTCTTTCTGAGGCGGGCAGATCACGAGGTGAGGAGATCGAGACCATCATGGCTAACACGGTGAAACCCTGTCTCTACTAAAAATATAAAAAAATTAGCCAGGCGCGGTGGCGGGCGCCTGTAGTCCCAGCCATTCGGGAGGCTGAGACAGGAGAATGGTGTTAACCCAGGGGGTGGAGCTTGCAGCGAGCCGAGATCGCGCCACCGCACTCCAGCCTGGGCAACAGAGCGAGACTCCATCTCAAAAATAAAAAAAACAAACTGTTCTTTCTCTATCACAGTGGTTCTCAACTGGTGGTGATTTTGCCCTCCAGGGGACGTTTGGCAATGTCTGGAGACATTTTTCATTGTCACAACTGGAGGGACTGTTGCTGGCATCGAGTAGGTAGAGGCCAGGGATGCTGCAAAACATCTCACAATGCCTAGGACAGCCCCCAGTAACAGAATTATCTGGACTAAAATGTCAGTAGTGGCAAGATTGAGAAAACCTGCTCCACAGAAAGGCCAGTTCTGTTATCCAGAACACTTGTCTTTCAGATGTCCTAGGAGTTGACTGACCTCTTCGGTGCAAATGAGGAGCACCTGGAAGGGAGAATGCCTGTTCTCTGTGAGCTGGCAGAGAGCAGAGGGCAGGGACCTCTGACACACCCAGAGCCTCTGGAGGGGGTTGCTTTGGATATATTTTAAAGACTATGATGCAAGTTGCTGAAGCGTGAAGTGTAAAAGCTGCCTTAACCCTGATTTCTTTCCAGGTGCTGAAACACAGGGTGAGTCTGTCAGCACCATTTAGCAGCTTGTGAGGAATGAATGTTCACATTTGCCACTCAGGTGGTGATGTGTCCTGCACAGCGCTTGTGCTTGTTCTAACTGGCCAAGCCTTAATTGCAACCTTCTGGGTAGTTCCAGCAAGGCACAGCTGCCCTAGCGGGGTGAGGATCAGGTGAATAAGGTCAAGACATAATGAAAGCGTGGGAAGAGGCACTCCTCAGCTTTTACAGTGCAGAGGAGGTGCTCCAGATTTGTTAAAGGATCAGTCTTGGGAATAGTTTATGGAATCTCTATTTCTTTCCTCTCTTTCCCCCTCTACTCCTTTCTTTATATATTAGAGACTGTAATAATCACCTCCCTACTTCCTACTTGGCAATATCCACTAAAGCTAAAAACAACAGCTACCCTCTGGCCCAGCAGTTTCCACTCATTTCAGAGAATGAGGCTGGTGTCCACCAAAAAACTTGTATAAGAAGATTCACAATAGTTTTATTATAATGGCCCCAAACCAGAGACACCCAAATATCCACCAGTAGAGAACAGACGAATTGTATATCCAAACAAAGGATACTACACCTAAATTAACATAAAATTAACATATTACAGAGAGAGGCAACAACATGGCTGAATCTCATGGACATCATGTTGAGCAAAGAAGCCAAACACAAAAGAGCACATACTATATGATTCCATATAGATTTCCAAGACACTGCTAATCAGTGGATTTAGAAGTGGTTGGGAGGCGGGGGGCTGTAAACTGGGAAGAGACACTTTAACTTTCTGAGATGCTGTAAATGGTGGTTACATAGGAAAAAACAATCAACTTTACACCCAGGATTTGTGCAGTTTACTGTCTGTAACTGCAGTGCCTCTAGAATGCCTGAACTGGCTCACCTTTAATTTTTTTTTTTTTTTTCCCCAATGGAGTCTCGCTCTGAGTGCAGTGGTGTGATCTCAGCTCACTGCAGCCTCTGCCTCCCAGGATCAAGGGATTCTCCTGCCTCAGCCTCCCAAGTAGCTGGGATGACAGGCATGTGCCAGCACACCCGGCTAATTTTTGTATTTTTAGTAGACAGGTTTCACCATGTTGGCCAGGCTGGTCTCGGAACACCTGACCTCAATGATACGCCCGCCTCGGCCTCCCAAAGTGCTGGGATTATAGGCGTGAGCCACTGCACCTGGCCTCACGTTTCAATTTGCAGAGAAGGAACTAGAAGGGGACATGCGAAATCTGTACCGGACTTCTAGGATGCTGTTCATTATACCATCCACCTCCTCTCAGGTCCTGATTACATTTTTATGTCAAACATTTAATTTCTCAGTTCCCCATCACCCAGCTAGTTGCCATGTGCCACCCCTACATGCACAGGAGGGCCCTGACCCTTTCTAGTCCTGTGCTCAGCTTCCATTGAGGCTTCTGAGGCTACCGAGTCTTTGGCCCTGGGTAGTGGATACATCTGTGGTGGACACTAAATTCCAAGCGGGGCTACACTCAGCTGCCTTTTCCTGTTCCCACCACACAGACGCAGTCCATGGTCTCTTAGGGTTATGCACCCACAGGAATGCAGGACTTTGTTTAAATCCCCCTCAACAGCAGTTCACAGGGGCCAGCTGAGGTCCAGCAGGACTAGAAAACTCTGTCTAGCAAACCCCATTCTGTTCAGTTCCCAAGACCCGCAGCCCACTGCCCCCTCCTCCTCATCGGAAGTCCTCGTTTCCTGTTCCATTTCACCCTGCCTCTCCCCCTTCAGCAACACTTTCTGCTTGAACCAGCAACCCATGGGGGTTTCAGGGAGCAGCCTCCCTGCCCCACTTTCTGCATTTTTCCTCTGTTCTCAGGTTCCATTTTCTTCCTGATGCATGGACCAGGACCTCCTGAGCAGCTCCCCTGGGAAGACTGTCCTCCCACAGGCTGGTTTCAGGGGATACCAGGGCTGCTGCACCTCCACACTCACCGGTTTTCCACTCCCCTCAAAGTCCAGGCTGATACGAGACCAGCGTCACTGTCCAACTCTGCCAAACATGTGTCTCCATTCCCATTTGGAGGGTGTGTCTGGAATCCTTGTTTACAAGGTGTAGAGGTGGAAGACCATCCCAGAGCCCCATGGCCCTGTACATCTGACTGCAGTTAGCTGGAAGATGGGTAAAGCAATGAATGGCTTTTTTTTCTAAAGCTGTTGCCCTCCCAGCCTGGGCTACAAGCAGTCAGTGCTTGAATCTTCCTCCCTACCCCCACCCCAATCAGGCCTTTAGGGCACTAAGTTGGAAAGGAGCCTGGACGTCAGAGTCAAACAGGCCTGGGCTCTACTGTGGTTTTACCTTACTGTGTCATCTTGGGTGGGTTAGGATACTGTACAGGTGATGTGTCCTCACGGTGTCACACCTAAGGCACCTGGTGTTTTGTCTTCATGCATGTTCTTTAGAAACTCACGTGGAGGGGGGTTTTCCATCTGGGCTGGGCCAGGCCACTTAATGGGCATGTTGCTGGTGGGCTGGCCAGTTCTGAGAAGATCTGGCAGGTGACTGCGGTAGGTCAGCCATTCAAGGCTACTACTGGAGAGTTTGGGAAATACCTTAGGTGCTCTATGCATGTCCACAGGCAGGTCTGTAACTTTTGAGGTGTCCGGCAAAGGCAGGTATCTGGCAAATCTGTGAATGGATGAGTGAACAGATGAGGTCCTAGGTGAGGGCAAGAGCCCAGCAACACACTTCCCCAGTCACACCTGCTCTTTGGAAGGTTCCAGCAAGGCTGTGGAGAGGACCCAAGAGCCTGTGACTGCCACCTCCCAGTAGACCCCAAGGACCTCCAGCCTCTGCTCTCCCCTCAAGGGTCCTGTCGCTCCGTTGGTGGCCATTAGCTGTGGGGGCCAGAGCTGTTCTCCACTCTACCTCCCAGGGCCTGTATCAGCCGATGACGGTTCCTGCGGCTTGTAATGTTCCTGCTGATCTGCTTCACTCACTACCTGTCACTTCTGATGAACTTTCCCAAAAGTCAGCCCAGAACTCCTTAAGGGCAGGGGCAGCCTGTTGTGGTAGTTCCAGCACCCTGTACCAAGCAGGTTCTTAGTAAATGCTGGCTTTTGAGTGGCCCCTTTCTGAAATAAATTCCTTGTTCTCAAATATATCCTGGATCTGGTCCCCTTGGGTCCAATCAGAGCTTGAACCAGACAGCAGTGACTGACCACCTCAACTCTCAAGAGTTTCTGGTTTATTTGGAGGCTCTACCCCACGTTACCCTAGTAAGGCTGGGAACTCTTGCCTTTCTTTTATCTTAAAGGAAGTTAATCCCAGCATATGTGAAAGATGGACCATCCACCCCAATGCCTCAAGTCCTGGGCTTCATTTCTCCATTTCTCCCAGGGGACCCTGGGAGTCTACATGCAAACAGTGATACTAGAAAGTTAACTTCCGGAAATCCCCTTGATAGGCCAGTTCGTCCCCCACTCTCTCTCCATGTGATTTTTTTTTTCAAAAAGTAACTTTTGTAGTTTTTTTTTCCTTATCACCAATACATACCCAATGTGGAAAATTGAGAAAAAGCAGGTATGTAAAAAGAATAAAATGCTTCGCCATAATCTCACTCTGCAGACAACCGACAATGGCAAAAACCGCAATTAATTTTGCACCAACCTAGTGCTAGGATTTCAGTACACAGCCTTCCAGGCCTACATTTAGGTTTGTTTGAAACAGGAACACGCGGTTTAACCGCCAAACTGCGTCCGCCCCCCCTTAAGGCTAATCCCACCATCCTGACCCTCCTTGGGAGGTCCCGAAATGACCCCGGTTCCAGGTGTAAGGGTAACGAAATGCACACGTTTTTGAGGGAAGGAGGGGAGGAAACGACCTGGTGGCGCAGGTCTGTGCGGCCGAGGGGGTTCGCTGGGCTGGTGGAGGGTCGTGGCGTGGCCTAGGGGGTCCCTGGGCGAGGGAGGCGGGGCGCGGCGAGGTGGGGGCGACTGGGTGGTGCAGGCCTGCGCACGCGCGCGGCCGTGGGCGGGACGGGCGGCCAGGTGGCTTCGCCGCCAGGTGGCAGGCGTGCGCCGCGCCCGCAGGTTCCAGCCCCGACCCGGGCGCTCAGGGCGGACCAGGGTCGGGTCGGGTGGGGTGTGCGGTGGCGGCTCCGCTCCTGGCTGCTCCGCTCTGGGTGCCAGGGCGCGGGTAGCTGCCCCGGGGTTCTGCCCACCGGGGAGGAAAGCCACGGGCACTGAGCGCCTCCTGAGAGCCAGCCCTGATGTGAACTCATTTTATCTGCCACGACCCAGAAGGTGGGCGCAATTTTCCCATGTTCCAGGTGTGAAAAGTGAGGCTTAGGGAGCTAGGCAGTTGCTCAAGGGGACACAGCAGTGACGGCTCTGGGACGAAGCCCTGGTGTCCAGACGCGATGGCCTCTTCCCTCATTCCCCGCGGGTACGGCGCGCCGCCGGCCTGCGGCCTGCGGGGAGGTGGTCGGGTGGCCGCCCGGGCTCCTCCTCGGGCCCCTGAGGATTTCCGGCCGGGACCCCGAGGAGGGCCCTGTGGCCTTCCGGCATCCGTGGTCACGACTCCAGCCCCACACGGCCTCCCGCTGGTCCCTGCGAGTGCCCAAGACGGGGCCGTCCTCCCGTCTCCTCCCTTCTCTCCCCGCCCCCGGCGTCTCCCGCGGAGGGCGCTGCAGGCGGCCTAGTTGGGATGAGGGCGGGCGGGCGGCCCACAAGCAGGGGCCTGTTTCCTGACTCGTTTGACCCTGGCTGTCCCCGCGGAGGCCCCCGGCAGACCCAGCAAGGTCATCTAGGGCGAAATTCCAGTCTGAGCCCTGAGCAGTGACTTAAGTTTTCCCGATAAGGCTCAAGAAGGGACACAGAGTGTCCTGCCCACACCCTCACTCTGTCAGCACCTCCGCTCTGGTGAAGCCTCTGCTGCAGACAGCCCGGCTCGAGAAGAGACAAAGATAGACTCGGGACAGATAAGGACAGAGACAGCCAGGGAGAGAGGGGCAAGGAGCTCAGAGGTGAAGATGGGGCCGCGCCGATGGGGAGGCAGCGGGCCTGCGGCCGCTGAGATGGGAAGTGGGCCTTGGAGCGGGCTTGCCGAGCCTACGACCGGGGCTGGGATGTTGGAGTAAGACGCCGCCATGGGATCTGGAAAAGAAGGGGTTTTTGGCATAGTAGAAAAATGGATTGGGCTGGCAGCTTGAAGGTCACAGCCCTGTACCTCTGGGCCTGGTCTCGTGTGTGCACCTGGGACCAGTGGGTGAGGGGTGATGTAGAGTCAATGAGGGACGCGCTCGCTGAGTCTCCAGGAGGCAGGAGTGGAGAGGGCGAAGTGGGGAGGGTAGGACCTGTATACCTACGGTGGAGGGGGCAGGCGGGGGACACATGCTGCTGGGCCAAGACTACTGAGTCTCTCTTGCCTGCTGGAGGTCCCCGGCTCAGGACTTATTCCATGCACATTCTGATAAAATATTTGTGCCCAACACTAACTGTTTGGCTTGGCAAATAAGCAAAGCCATAAAGTCATAGCTGGCTTGTAGGCTCCCAGTCACCATGTGCAGCTGAGTCACAACCACTTCCCCCACCCCCTGAGGAGCTAGCGCCTATGCTCATGCCTGCACTCAGACACATATCCACACAGGTACCCACAGATGCCACGTGCCACTGAGTCATAGCTACCTCCTCAGCACGTGCCTGCATGCACTTGCACACAGGTCCCCACAGATGCCATATACACCTGAGTGTGAGTCATCATCACCACTGAACCCGGAGGGAGGACACCCAGAGTATGTTCTGCCATCCCTGCTTAGAGAGAACCACATATATACATATACAGATATGTGCCCACCGCACATCCTGTTGTACCTGCTGCATCATACCAGCAGATCAATAAATGTTTGTGGAATGAATAAATGAGTAAACAAATGAATGAACTAACAAGTGAAAACGTGAGTGACAATCACACTGCGTGGATACTGGGTAAAATTGGTTGGGGCAGCCCTGCAGGGTGGGTCCCAAGCTCTGTGTCCAGAGGGAGTTGTCTTGCTCCAAATATAGTCTCTGTGGGCTGGCAAGGAGCCAGGGCTGCCTCCCAGACCCTGACTTCACTGGGCCAGAGGCCCAACCTCTGAGGAGTTGAAGAAAATTAACAGAGAAGAGGCCCTTGCTTTCTGTAGCCAGGGCTGAGCTGTGAGATGAGTTGGTGGGGGAATGTGTACTCTGGAAATATCACTTACTCAGAGACTTGAGATGTAGGACAGAGTGCTCTGCTGAAGGGCCCAGAGAAGACTGGTTCTGGATTGGGCTTCTTGGGAACTCTGCCCCAAATGTGCAGAATGTGCAAGAGGCCTGGTCCCACTTGAGATCTGGGGCAAACACAGTGCCTGCGCTGAGCTGGTGATTGCAAAACTGAGGCCCCCTATTAGGCAGTTTTTTGTCTAGGCCTGCCCTTCTGGGCTGGGCTTGTTCCCAGACCTGCTTCCCTGTCTCTCCCTTGAATCTTCTTTTCTGAAGCCCCTGTGCCTCTGCCCTAATTCATCATCTGGAATATTTTAATATTACCCCAACTGGTCTTCTTGCCTTTAGACAGTAAGTATCTTGCTCATAGCTGTCAGAGTTATTTTTCTAAAATACAGATCCAACTATATAACTTTCCTGTTCAAAATCCTTCCATAGCTTCCCACTTTTCAGCATTAAAGTTGGATGGCCTCAGCCCTGTGATGAGATCCTTCATGACCTGACTCCACTCTACCTGGAGGTTATGAAAGGAGGTTATCCATCCACATGTGGATGGATAGTTGTTGGTTACATGGATCGATGGATGATGGGTGGACTCTAGGATAATGGACGCTTATAGGGATGAACGGACTAGTGGACTGATCTGTAGACAGATGATTAGAAGTATAAGTGATCAGCCAAGCACAGTGGCTCATACCTGTAATCCCAGCACTTTGGGAGGCCGAGGTAGGTGGATCACCTGAGGTCAGGAGTTTGAGACCAGCCTGATCAACATGGTGAAACCCCCTGTCTTTACTAAAAATACAAAATTAGCCAGGCATGGTGGTGCATGCCTATAATCCCACTTACTCAGGAGGCTGAGGCAGGAGAATCGCTTGAACCCGGGAGGCGGAGGTTGCAGTGAGCTGAGATTGAGCCATTGTATGCCAGCCTGGGCAACAAGAGTGAAACTCTGTCTCAAAAAAAAAAAAAAAAAAAAAAAGGGAAAAAAAATGAAGTATAAATGATTAGGAGGGCATGTGGGGATGGAGAGATGGGTGGATGGATGGTTGGAAGGACACTGCTCAAGTCAAGGTTGTTTTTGTTGCAAGGAACAAAGAAAACTCCAGTGTTTTTAAGAATGAGGGGTACAATTGTGAGAATACAATGGACAACCTTGCAGAGAGCACTGACATTCAGGCCTTGTGAGATTGGAACTGGAAAGTCAGGAACAGTGGCTCTTCTCTCCATCTCCCGAGGACCTCAAGGTTCCTCTCTTTCCCACATTTCTCTGTACTCATTCCTGTCTCAGCAGTCTCCCTCTGCTCGATTTTCCTCCTCATGGTCTACTCTCAGCCACTCTTACTCATTCCTTCCACAAGTTTTTACCAAGTGCTTATTTATGTGACTCTTTGTACCTCAACAAAGCTCCTACGTGTTGAAAAATAGCAAGCAAAACAAAGTTGCTGCATTTATGAAGCATACTTTCTAATGAGGAGAGAGAGAGAGTAGGCAGTTATATGTGAGCTGACGTTAAATGCTATGGGAAAAATAAAGCAGGGAGCAGTTTGGGGAGGGGTTGGGTTTCTGCTGCATGTAGGATACTCAGAGAGGGTGTCCCTGATATGGTCATATTTGAGCAGAAATCTGAAGAAATTGAGGGAGTGAGCCGTGAAGATATCTGGGGGAAGAATGCTCTAGGAAGAGGGCATGGCAAGTGCAGTGGTCCTGAGGTGGGAACTCTGTGGCACTGTGTGAGGAACATCAGTAAGGATGGTGTGGCTGATGTTGTGTGAACATGGGGAGGATAGTGGAAGATGAGGTCAGACGGGTAGCAGGACAGATCATGAAGTGTGTTACAAGCCATTGTGAGGACTTAGACTTTTACTGTAAGAAGGAGGGGAGGCATTGGAGGATATTGAACAGAGAAATGACATGATCTTAGATTTTAAAAAGGACCTCTCTGGCTACTGTGATGAGAATAGACTGAAAGGGACAAGGCGGGAAAGGGAGACAAACAGGGAGACCACTTAGGAGGCGACTGCAGAAATCCAGGTGAGAGATGTTGGTAGTTTGGACCAGGGTGGCAGTGGTGAGGGCAGTGATAAGTGGTCCAGTTTAGGATTGATTTTGAAGGTAATCAGGATTTGCTGATGGATGGGATATGGTGAGGTGGCCCTGCTCCAATCAGCTGTGGACAGGGAGGATATGTGGTATAGTGTGGTCATCTAGCTCCACCCTCCAGCAGAGGCAGCTTGACGTTTGTCTTGGATAATGAGGGCTAAATGCAGGGTTGCAGAGTCACGCCCGCAGCACAGTTGTTTCTGTCTGAGCTATAAGGTCACTCTAAATCCCACTCTTTCAAAGCAGACATATTCAGCAGGCTTCATTGAAAACTGCTTACCATTGTTAGGATAGAACTGGAGCTTGAAGTGACCTGACTTCTCAGTGATACCAAACATTCATACTCTCCAAAGAAGAGAATGAAGGAAGAGAATGTTTATGACTGGCTAAGTCTGTCACCATTCAGTACAGACAACCTCCTTTGGGCAGAGTTTTATGGCAAGCTATTGAAGTTATATATGTACACATATGTGTGACAGATCTATATCTATAGAATATATCATATCTCTATGTAATACTTAAGCTACTGTGTGTGTGTGTGTATATATATATATATTAAGATTATACACATACAAACACAGTTGCCTTTAGTTGAGGAACCCCAAGAACCTGCCCCTTGTCCAGTCAGGGTTGCTGCCCAGAG